TTCAGCCTCAGCTTCTGTGTGGCCATCCCTCTGCCCAGTGCCGTTTGTTTCTTGAGCTCAAACCTGTTTCCCTCAGGGAACTGCCTTTGGGCCACTGGAGCAGGAAGTCCTGGGGGTCCGTCACCCTCTTGCTTATGGTGGGGTTCACAGCCACTGACTGATGTGGGAAAGAGAAAGCCCAGGTGGATCCCAGGTGCTGATTTAGGGATGGTTCCAACTGTACCCCAAAGTCTCACATGCTAGAGCTTGGTCCCCAGCGTGGCCGAGTTCAGGTGGTAGAAACTTGAAAAGGTGGGTGCCGGTGGAAGATAGGTCACTGGGGTGCCACCCTCAGAAGGGATTAGTGTAGTTCTCTGGGACTCCTGGTAGTTCCCACAAGAGCACATTGTTATAAAAGAAAAAAAAGCAAGCTTGGTCCCCAAGTCTGTCTTCTGCCCTTGCTCTGCTATTGCAATACTAACCCCCAGGAGCCCCTCACCAGAAGCAAACCCATGGCCAAACCCTCTCAGCCGCCAAAACTTTGAGCAAAATAAGCCTCTTTTCTTTGTGCATTACCCAGCCTCAGGTGTTTTGCTATAACAACAGGAAACAGACTAATACACCATGCTTGGGGTCCCAGGTCATCTGAGATACAACTTACTTTTTGGGACTCCCCATGGGGTCAGGCTGAGTCTGGAACTTGGGCTGAGATTGTCACACTTGCTTGACTTCTCCCTTTGCCTGGCCTGCTTTCCCCACTTCCTTCCCAGTGTCTCCCTCACCTCCACCAGCCCAGCACTCCTTAATAAGCCACTCACCCATGAACTATCTCAGGTGGTTTAGATGACCCTGACCTAAAGTGACCTTGGGGAAGAGATGCGTCTGAAGCTAAGACCTAAAGTAGGAGAAGTGGGGTCTGGGTGACGGGTTGCATTTGGGGGAAGAGTGTGAGAAATTGAGATGGGGCAGGGGGATTGGCGTATGCAAAGGTAGGAGGGACTTGCCACACTTGAGACGTGAAAGTGGGATCTGGGAGGAACGGACTCTGAATGATGAAACTCGGGTGTGATCTGGAACATCCCCCCCCCCGTAGTCTCATATGTATAGAGCTGGGGCTTTTAGGCCCTGCTGGACCCTGAGGGCTCTGACCTCGGCTGATGGATCCATCCACTGACCGCTGGGTGGACCTCTGGGAGGTGGGCCTCCCGGCAGGAAGCAGGTCCCTGGAAAGCTTATCTTCTCCGAGGCTCCGCCTGCCTCCTCCCTCCACCTCTCCTCCACCACACCCCCCTGCCATGATGTCCCCCTCACCTCCATGGGGTCAGCTGCCCCTGGACTAAAGTCTCTGCGACCAGGAACCCACATCAATCTTTCCTCCTCTTAGTGGTTGTCCCACCCACATTGGTCATGGTGACTGAGAACTGGCTGGCAAACTGCACGGAGCCGTGGTGGTGCTCTACACTGTGGACCTGGGGGATGACAAATCTGATGGAAGACAGCCCTGGGGCCTCCTGGTCACTCTGCCCACCCCTGAGGCTCCCGCAGGGCCCCCACGCAGCGGCCGGTGATGGACACCACTAGAGTTTTCAGCAGAGAGGAGACTGGACCAGGTCAGCTCTGGACGACAGCTTTCCAGCAGTAACACAGCAAACACGGAGGACATCAAGATGGGGGCGAGACCATAGGGGCAGGTGGGGGCAGCGATTCTGGCATAGAGTTATGTGGGCCTGACCCTGGTGACCGCGCTGGGAGGAGATGGGAAGTGGGATGGAGCCTGGAGAGGCGTGGAGGAAAGAGCCTCAGTCACAAAGGTGACACGGGAGGAGATGCCCAACGCACAGGAAGCGAAGACGGGGCTCCGGACGGCTGTGAAGCTGAACTCGGGCAAGGAAGCTCACCTTTCCCAGCGTCCCTGAGACAAAGGGCACCTGGCCCACTGTCAGGAAGAACAGGGGAGGGACAGGGGAGGGACAGAGCTCCAGCTCCCTCTCCCTGCAGACCGAGCCAGGGACACACTGCAGTGTATCACCCCAGAGCCAAGCTGCCGGGTGCCCGTGGCCCTGGGTCTAGAGGAGGTGCAGTTTCCAGGTGAATGGAGACCCAAGCCACCAACTGCTGTGGAGGTGACAAGTGGTTCTGAATGGCAGCGTCATGATTGCATTTGCCACTTAACCAGATTGCTTTCCATTGCCGGGATCAGACCCCAAGAGATAGAGGGTTTGATGGGAGAATGTCTGGCCCTTGTGACCAACGAATGAACTGCTCCTACCCCACAGCCTAGTGCCAGCTGGTCTGCCCTCCCTCCTGGGTGCCTTTCCCTGGATGGCGGGTGCTCGAGTCATGACTCCATGAGAAAGCCAGCACGGCCTCCCCATCACGGGGACCCCCTCCTTGTGTCTCAGGCACCTCACTTCCAGGCACCGTGGACACAGCCAGAACAAGACCTCAACTCCCCCGCCCTCAGCTGGAGGAGACACAGACATCAATGTGTGAGCAGGTGACGTCCAGCGGGTCACAGTGTCTTGGAGAAAGGACGAAGCAGCAAGGAAGCTGGCCGCAGTTCACAGGGGGTGACCAGGGAGTCCTCACGGAGAAGGAACCAGCCCGGTGGGCACCTGGGACACTGCCTCCCAGCAGAGGGAACATGGAGGGCAGGTTTTGTGCTGCGGGGGAGGGGACAGACCCTGCACGGAGCAGAGCCTGAGGCTGGAGGGAAGAATGGAGAGGAGGACACAGAGGTGATGGGGAGGGGGCTTGCAGCAGGCAGGGCCACCATGGGTGAGGTAAGAAGACCCCACGAGTGGCTCTGCACAGAGGAGTGACAGGATCTGAGTGAAGTCCTGAAAGGATCAACTGGGCCAGAGGTCAAGAAGAGACTAGGGCAAGGACACCTGGGAAGGAGGGTGGAAAACAGGGCTGGCGGGATCCATGGCGGTGGGGAGGGGCCAGCTCAGCACAGTGGGAAGGCAGAGCCAGCAGGACGCGGAGTCGAGGAGTTGGGTGGGGTGGGGAGAAGCCAAGGGTGGCTCGCAACCTTGGCCCTGAGCACCTGGAAGGGTGGCCTCGCTGATCTCCAGATGGGGACAGTGACAAGAAGGTCACATTTTGGGGGGCAGGAAAGGTTTGCCATGAAACTAATGTGACCCTCGAGGGAGCCGCAACAGAAAGAGAGGGGGCGGAGGTCTGAGGGTGGGGACAGCAGCAATTGGCCAGCCATGGAGGTGGGCGAAGAGCAGCCGGGGTTGGGGGGAGGGAACAAGAGAGGAAGGTTCCTGGGGGTCAAGAGAAGAGTGGGCTTCAAGAAATAGCCAAATGTCAAGCCAATGACCAAGACCGTCCACTAGATCTAGCAATGCAGAGGTCACAGGTGACTCTCCCAACAGAGTGGACAAGGTGGCGCCAGCAGAGCCTGCGAGGAGCGAGTGCGAAGGGAGGGGCTCTCCTGTCCCCAGGAGCTCGATGACACTTGTCACAGCAGGGTGCAAAGGCCAAGAAGAGGCAGAGAGCCAGGCAGGACAGGGGCGTGTGGGAAAGGCCTCGGGTCGCCTGGTCCATCCCGGATCTCAGTCTCGGACAGGAGAGGGACGAACGAGTGTCCTTTAGCAACCTGGGTGCACTGAAGGATGGGCTCAGGGTGCAGGGAGGCAAGGCCAGGGTTCCATCAGTGACAGAAGCCACAGGCAGGACTGAGACCACCAGAGGAGGTGTAGCTTGCTAAGGTCAGGGAGGGCCTGGGGGCCAGCAGCCCCAGACGGGGACAGCGGGAGAAGGGGGCCGTCCAGGCTCTCACCCCCAGCCTGCCCAGCCGATGCCTCCTGGGGTTCCAGAGGACCTGGCCTGGCCCCCAGCACAGCAGGATGCCCCACCTGGTCCTGTAGAGGGGTTCACTGTGGGGGGGCGGGGAGGGGGGCAACCTCCCTTCCTCTTCCTGCTCCCCTGCTCCTCTCCCAGGCCCTCGTTGCCTGCCATGGTCTGAGTCCTGTGTCCCTGAAGGTCCTATGCTGGAACCTCATTACTGGGCCTCAGGAGATGGGACGCCTTGGGGGGCAGATGGTGGGATGAGCTCTCTGACCATAGGGCAGCCTCCTGGGGAGGGGAGAAGGCGCCAGGTGTGCGCCAGGAAGGGACCCTCCCCAGACACCGGATCTGTGTCCCCTGGGCTTCTAGTCTCCAGAGCTGTGGACAGCGGCCGAGGTCCGAGGCCCTTGGCCATCTATAGCACCCCAGAGGGACTAGGACTCTGTCCCCGCAGCCTCAACCCTCACTGGCCCCTCAAGAGACTGTCCCCGTTGGTCCTCAAAGCTGCAATCCTCCTGTGATAGAAGGAATGACACTCCCGTCTTGGCAGGTTGAAGAGGTGACACATGCTCATGTTTTAAAAGTCTAGATAATAAAGTTAAAATGGCTGGCAATCCCCTTCCTGGAGAAAACCACATCCTGCCCCGTGTCCCTCCGTAATATTTCTGTGAAGTGTGTTTCGTTACAACACATATTTGTCGTTGTAAAATAAAAATGGCCACCGAGCCACCCGCAGTTCCTGAGCCCTCTTGTTCATTTCCTCGCACACCTGGAGCCCACCTGCCCCTCCAGCACGGTGTTCAGTCCCTGCAGAGCTTCCGGGGAAGAAAGGGCCTCAGTTGAGTCACACCCTTGGGGGACTTTCAGTTCCATACCCCCCACGCTCCCCTGTCACAGAAGGTACTCCGTGTCCATCTTGTTCATGAATCTGAGCAGTGACCGTTTACACCTGGGGGCTCGTACAGCTCTCTGGTTCATGTCATAAAGGAAATTGATTTCTATGTTCAAAGTCAATGTTGATTAAATGAACAACGGTTGCTAGGAAACCTGCAAGCTGGACATTGGGTGGAGGCCAGAGCTAACAGCCTCCACCCCCACCCCCGGAACCCAGGGCCTCGCCCCTTGAGCCTTGTGCTTAGAGCACCCACCTCCTCACCTGCTCCACAGCCAGGCTCTGGCTTCCTCCAGTCCAGCTTCCTGCTGTGACCCTCCCCCCCCAGAAACAGAAGCTAAAGACTCCACTGTCCCAGGCACCCTGCCTGCCCCCGGATTCCAGTGGCTCCACACTGGTTTGCTGAGAAGCGCGCAGGAGCGTGGCTGTGCCTGGGTGGCACTGCAGACCTGCTGTGGTGGGCTACATCCAGCTCAGGGCTTGAGCTCCTGCACCTTCCAAGGTCAGGCTTAGGAATTTGGGGATGGAGTCTTGATCCCCCCGGGTGTGAAGCAGTGGTTTTCAATGTGTCTGTTGTCTCTTTCCTGCCTCAGGTACCATGAGGAGTAGGACCCACTCCCATCACCCACAGGCTACCAAAAGGGCAGGCGTTGTGGGGGGGGTGGCCAGAAACTGGAGGTGGCCAGAAACTCTGGGGGGTAAGTGGAGTCGTAAAGAGGTCCCCTACCCCCGGAGCAGGGGATTCAAGTGGCCTCTGGCACGCCTCAACCAGGAGTCAGCCATGGCAGGGTTGCTAGCAGGAGAGGAACAGAAGTAAACCAACAATTCTGCACCTCTCCCCCAGAAGTGGCAGGACGGGAGCCCTGGCTTCCACCAGGGAAATAGACCCGGGCTCTGGGCGGGCATGGGAAAGAGCACAGAGAGCCCTGAGCCCTGCCTGGGAGGGCATCAGGAGGCTCCTGCAGCCCTGGGGAAGGAGGAGGTGGACAGAGTCCAGCCTTAGCCACTTGTCCCTCCCTGTCCTTCCTCTCAGGAACGGAAAGCACAACAGTGGTAGCCACAAGAGAGTGCCCCCAGGTGGGCTGGACTTCTACACCTTACTCAGCCCTGGGGGCAGGCGCTGCTGGTGACCCTATGGGAAGCCTTCGTTTGGGCTGAGCTCCTACCCTAGGCCCCAGCAGACCAGACCTGACCAAGATGGAGTCATCATGCTAAATTCCACTTAACTGAATTGGAACTTCAGGTAGGCAGGTGGGCCCCCCAAACAGGACAGGTTTTCCAGAAAACAGGAGATTCTGGTCACCTGAGGCAGCACCACGAGGAAGGCCCCTCAGTGTCAACCCTTGCTCCAAAAAGTAACTGGAGGCCAGCCAGTTATCTCCTGTTCCCACCCCACAAAGGGACAGTCCTGCCATGCCCAGTGGCTCTCCTGTCTAAGGGCGTGGAAGACCGCAGACTCCTACAAGTAAAGGCCAGATGGACATCAATCTGTACCTCAAGCCGCGGGATTGTGTCTGGACAGCATGACCACTGTCCCATCCACAGATGCAGAAATCGAGGATCAGAATATTTTTATCCAAGGAAATAATGGAGGAATAATGGAGGGGTGGGGTCTTCTGCTCCTCCCCACGTTCCTCCTGCACCACTTTCTTTAAAGGTGACTTTTTAAATGGCCCTGGTTCCTGACATTGGCTAAATAGGGCTGTCCTGCATGACAGGAAATGGCAGGAGTTACGGGAAATGGCGTCCTGCCCTCAGGTCCAGTGCCTGGGAAGGAGGGTGGGGCTGGCCTAGGTGGGGAGGGCTGGGTGAGGCAGGAGGGCAGGGATGGACCCCGGGCTGGGGTCGGCAGGACTCCACATAGGAGCCTGCTATCAGAAGCCGGCGCCTCTGGACCCGAGGGCAGCGGGCCAGCCTACGTGGGCTCCTCCACCTGGGCCCTGAACCTCACGCTCCTCCTCAGCCTCCCAGGCTCCCGCTGCACCCCCTCCCACATCAACGCCTTGGCACTGGGGTCAGCGCTGCAGCCCTGGCCACTCAGCAGGGCCAACGCTGCCCTGAGGGTCCCCAGCTTGCCGCTGCTCATCTGGGTCGCAACACAGGCAGCATCAGACACCTGAGCCCCAAGCAAAACTGTCCTCACCCCCAGCCCGGCCTCTCCCTCCAGCCCACCCAAAAGCCCAATCTACCTGCACTCTCCATTCCCACTGTGCCACCTGTATAGGCCACCGCCCCCTCCCTGTCCACCAGCTGGTCTCCCTGTGGCCAGTCCTGTCCCTGTCCCCCCGTGCTACCCTAACGACCTGTGGAAACAGACGTCCGATGCCAACATCGTGGGTAACAACCAACACTTTCTCAATGGGGGAGAGGCAGGAACGACCCTACACAGTAGGTACTGTCCTCACTGTAAACCGAGGCAGGGCCCCACGGGCACCCCGCACGGTCAGCGTAAGCAACGTGTCCTTTAGCCTCTGCGCAGGTCTGGAAGCTGCGGCGGCCACGTCTTGTGCTCACGAGGCAACCTGTCACCCTAGGATGACACCAGCCATAGCAAGGCATGTGCCACATAGGAGCAGAAACGGGGAGAGAAGGGGACTTCTGCCTGCAGGGGAGAAGTGAGAGGGCACCGGAGGTGGCTTTCAACCTGTGGGGTCACAGGGATGGCGGGTCAGGGGTGACCTCTCACCACAGCAGTTTTCTCTGTCGGGACCTCGCTGCCCTCCTCTCCTGCTCTGCCACCTCCACTCGTGCTTCCGTCCCACATGGAGCCTGAGACACAGACTGGGACCCAGGCAGTGTGCTTGGGAGGATGTCCCCAGGGGCTGTCGGGAAGGCACATGGGCAGGGAGACCACAAAGCAGAGAGCCACTGGAGCGTGCATTGCTGAGCCGGGCCAGGTGAGGGCAGCTGGGCTTGAGTCCACCAGGACCCTCCATGATCTGGGGGACATGAAAAGGCACCCCAGGACGGCCCTGAATGACGGGGAGCAGGGGCCTGTCCTCGCTGACCACTTTCCCCCTGACAGGATTGTCCCTGGGGACGCAGCGCCCACCCTTCACTGGGGAAAGTTGTGAGCAGGAAGCCTGGCATTCAGCAGGACGTGGGCTGAGGCCCCAGCAAGACGAGGACCACCCGCAAGGCTGCAGCTGATGTCAGAGGGGGGCAGAGGGGACGCGGCGCACAGGGCACAGTGGCATCCACTAGGGGTGGTGAAGAGGCAGCGCCTGCCAGGAGCCAGATGGGTGCCCAACACAAACAGCCGCCCGGCCCAGCAGCGGAGGTGAGCGGCTCGGGACAGCTGCAGAGCTATTTCTTCTAACCTCCTTTCCCGATTTGGAAGGCGGTGCCTCCTCCGTGTGAAAACAGTGAAGGAAACAGGAGCACATTGGTGCCAGCTCTCCAGGCATGGGGACAGGATGGTGGCAGCCATGGGTGCCCAGAAGGGAGGCTGCTTGCCTGCTCAGAAGTAGGAAAACGTGAATGGGACAGACAAGGACAGAGAAGTGCTCCTGGCAGGAACCTGTGATCAGTTGCCAGGGCTCCCAGGAGTCAGAAGAGCCACCAACCTCCTGTGCCCGCAGCCTCTCTGAGGACCCCCTGGGGGAAAGGGGTCGCACGGTCAGGAGGAAGATCCCAGGCTTGGAGGCAGAGGTCTCTGAGACACAGCTACCTGCATGTCCCTAAAGTTCCATGTAGAGATGAGAACACTGTGAAGAGCCCAGTTGAAAGGCGCAGCGATCATGATTATCATGACCCCCCCAGAGCTGGCTCATAATCCACAGGTACAGATGACACACCTGAAATCAGAGGGTAAGCCACGTGTCCGGGTCCGTGCCTCAAGCATCAGACCCCAGACTTGAACCAGCTCCTCTGAGTCCCAGATCAAAGCTCCTCTGATCTCACATTTCTGGAAAAATCCCAAACGCAGCTGTCTAGGTACAGACACCCACAGGAAGAGCCCACCAGAATGTCACGAGCTGGTGAAGGAAGCAGGAGGAAGACAGGCTGGGGGTGACCAATGACCCAGCCTCATCCTGGAGATGTGCAGAAGGAATCAAAAGAGGGTCAAGGCCAAGGGGTGCCAGGAGTCGTGGGCTGCAGACTCTCACCCTGATTCTGCAAGCCCTTGTGCTGATCTGGGTTTTCCCGTGACCGTGGTCTGCCACAGGGTGCCTTTGGAGTCAGTGATCCTGTGGACAACAAGTTCTGGAAGGTCAGTGAGGGTGCAGAGCTGGCCAAGGCTCCCTAGGGGAGCTAGCTCTGGGGCTGCATAGGTCAGGAAAGGGGGGCTTCCCTGTCCCAGGGCTCTAATAAACCCTACTGATTGGAGATGGCCAGGCTCGATTTCAGCTGTGAGGACCTGACTGCCGCTCCCCCGACTCCCACTGCCTCTGGACAAGAGCTGGGCTCGAGTCACACCCTCCCCTGCTCACAGCCCCGCAGCCTGCCTTCATGTGGCTGAGTGTGTACCAGGGCGGAGAATTGTGGCAGGGGTGGGAGGAGGCTAGGAGAAAAAGCAGCCACCTGTTCACCCCAGTTCTGCTCAGAGCCTCTCTCCTGTCCAGAGCCACCGAGTGGGACAGGATGGTGGGAGGCAGACCCACGCACCTCAATTCTGAGCACTCACACCAGTTGGGCCTGGGTCCCGGAGCCAGCGCGTGGGCGCCCGCCTGTGCTCCTGTTTCTGGAAGCTTTATATACAAGGCACAGAGGTGCGAAGGAGGGACGCTAGACTGGCCCAGGGAGAGGAGCCGGCCTGGCAGCCTGGAGGAGAGTCTTAACTCTCAGACCTGGGTATATTGGCATCACTCAGCAATCAGACAAGATGGATGTCCTCCCAGGACTGTTTTGTGTGTGTGTGTTTTTTTTTAAGTGGGCAAAACCTTTACCCTTTTCCATTCTGTTTCCTCATCCTGTGTAGGGGATGATAATAGAGCCTCCCTCCAAGGGCTGTTGTGACTAGAATAGGGCCTCAGCAAATGGTAGCTGCTTTTTCAGTTGTTAGGATCATTACTATAAATGTGTGTGTTCAAGTACAGAACCTGGCGGCGCCGGAAGAATGGCTGGAAGTGCAGGTGGGTAGAAGCTGTCAGTGGATGACATCGAAGATGGAAAGAGACACTTGATTTGCACCTGCTTGGTTTAGTTATTGTGATCTGGTATCCATGGAAACTGCTGAATATTGATACTCAAAATAGGCAGCTTTTCTCTGTGCTAAGAGCAGTGAGGGAAGGGGGTGCTCTGCACTTTGCTCCCCAACAGAGGCGGCAGGTTCCTCACCCACCCTGTTCCTTTCTCCCTACCAGGGAGCAAGTCCTTCAAGTGCAGTCAATGAATAAAGGACATACAGAAATCAAAGGTCCAGCTGGTTTCTGGGGTGCAGCAAATGCTACCCATCTTAGTTGTGGAATGAACGAGTGAGCGAGTGAATGGAAGGTGGGTGTTGTCTGATCAACTCAGGAACAGGCAGGATTGACCTGTGGGTAAGTGACCTCGGAGCCGTCCTCTGGGAGGGCTGGGGAGGGCAGGCTTAGTCATCACCTCTTGCTTTGGGCTCACACAAGGCTCATGGGACCAGACTGGGTTCTGTTTGAGATGAGGTCTAAGTGGTGAAAAGCTACAGCTTGGGGTCAACCCAATCTGAGCGAACTGCTGACTCAGCTGCTGCCTTGCTTTGTAAACTTCAGCAAACTCTTAATTTCTCCAGGCCTCTGTGCTTCTCTATGAAGTGGCCTGACAGTGTCTACCTCTCGGGGATGTTCTGCAGGTTGAACGGCCCCCTGTGCATAAATGTGCATTTGCCACTGGGAAGGAGATCGCACTGTCTTCCCCAGAGGCTCTGTGGAGCAGGAATGATAGCAGGTCTCTTCTTTCAAGTGATTCAGATCCACGAACGGGAAAGTCTTTGTAGATTTTGAGCACTCACAGCATGGCTTGAGTGGCACAGAGTCTAGGGAGACCTGGAACTTGGAGCACTACTGGGACAAGCTCCCCAGCCAGGAGGGAGGGGACCACGAAGCAGGAAGACCCCAGGAGCCTGGCAGGGAGCTCCATCCACAAGCCAGGTGCACACAGTAGGACTGCGTGGGGTCGAGACCTGTGCCTGACTGCCTCCATGTGCCCTTGGGTAAGTGGTTTAACGTCATGGGGCCTCTGTGTTTCGTTGGTGGTGAAGGTGTAGCACAGGTTGTCATGAGGATGAAGCCCTGTCGAGGGCTCAGCCAGTCCTGGGATGCAGGAAGTGCTCAGTGAACGTGGTTGCTCGCACTTCTCCATCTGACTCCCACGGGCTCTGTGGGTCCAGGCCTCCTGCCTCAGCTTGTCCCATCTTGTCCCATCTTGGTGCAGAGTTTAGGGAGAAAATGGAATAGAAGGAGAGCACCGTTTAGGGCTGACGTGGCCTTATGTGACAGGTTGTTGTCACACAAGACAGGGACCACCCTTACGCCCATTTCATGGCGGGGATCCTGCCCAGCTGCTGCCAGGACACATACCGGCTCTGTCTGTGTGCAAGGCCTGTGCTCACTGGCCTCTAGGATCCTGTTCCTGCTCTAATTGCAAACACTCTAACTCCCAGAGCCGAGAGGGAAATGCAGACAGAAGCCAGGTGGGTGCTTGGGCCCAGCCTGCAGCCCCATCCCTAGTCGTGCCCAGTTTCCACCCATCCTCTAAGCCCTCCACTCTCCACTATGACCCCTTGTTTTGGGGCAATCTC